TACGTTTTATTGAGAAATAAATGTATATCTGAATATGTGAGAAGAAATATGTGCAATTGACAACCTTCATGAAACACTGTTTTCACTGTGAAATTCACTTATTATAGTATATACTTGGAAAGCTCTCTAAATAAAAAAGTGAACTTAAGGAATTCCCAACAAAATTTAATCGTATTACTTTTTTAGTTTTCGTATTCGAATGAGTAAGACAAATACAGTGGGAAACTATTTCCTTGCTAGTCTTCCATTCATTCCATTTGTTAAATTATTAATTTTGCACTCTTTATGTTTTTTAAATGTTTGTTCGATTTTGATGAACGAAACTGATATTGTTTAGAAGGATGGCATTTTAATCGCCGGTAAATTCCTAATAAACTTCGCTGTTAATTTGAGGCTGAATTAACCACCAAGATGAGTGAACCATTCAGGATATGATGAAATTATTTATTTACTAACACACTATGTACATCTGATAATGGTTTGGATAGTTGTTAATATCATGCTTATTTTAAACAAACGGAATATGTTGTATAACAATCAGTTTGTTCTCTAGATTTGAAATTGGTTATTGTTTGCAAGTGTGTTCTGAAAACTTTATGGAGTTTCAAATTGTGAGGAGTAGTTATCGGGTATGTTGACATCATGCACCTTTGTCATGTTATTACGCAATTAGGTGATATCATTTTTACCTAAGTGTCTTTGATCATTACAGATATTTTCTATGGAATCACCCCTACGTAAGTAGATTTAATACTTTTGTTACCTAAACATAAACTGTCATACGCCAATTCATATACTTATCTATGTCATCATATTGATCATTTAATTCACTTTTTTCGTCATACAACTATCCACATAAACCACATTTAAGCACTCTATCGACTCCATTTTATATTGTCAACAGTTCATGCACAAACATACCTACCCAGTCATGTTTTTTATAACGTATCCAATGACTATATACACATAGATTATTACAAGTGTAACGTCTATCAGATGTGTTTGAACATAGTTGTGTAGGTGTAAGAAACACAACGATACAGAGGGATGTTTTGAGGGCGTAGACCAAAACAACACCCACATTTCAAGTGGTGTCATCTACGTATATACTGGCTGTTCAATTAATTTCTACATATTGGCACGTATAAGCCAGCTTATTTCAAATCTGCGGCGAGGAATTACGATCAGTAATACAATGTCTCTCATTAATGAAAAAAAAACTCCAATCATCAGCTGTAATCATCACTGATTGGCTTTTGTCAATATCTTGGCTTGTGTATCTGTTTGACTATTGGTTTATTCATAAACGGCAGCAGATTCAATTCACTACTGTGTTGCACTGCAATACAACGATGACATCACATGCTGTTTTAGTTTGTTTTTGACACTGTGGTTTATTGACAGTTTGTACCGACATAGACGTTTAATATTTCATATTTAAAATTTTTTGAGTGAGTAACAAACTTTGTGGAAATGTATTACGCATATTGCTAGGTGCTAATAAATATAATATTTATTCTCTTGTTTATTTGTTTGTTTGTGTTACATACAGGTCCATCGAATAAATTACAGGATGCGATGGATAGGTTGTCTCAAGGACACAGAATTGATGCGTCCATCTCTAATGGAGATCCCGCTATTACTCAGATGGTTAGGTTATACAAAAGCTTGCAATCATGGCAGCAATCAATGCATGATGCAGATATCAAACAGGCATTGTCTGGTCAGTAACATTCCATTGTTTTTGTATCAATTGTTTTTTCGGTGACAGGCGATGTTCCACACATACCAATTTTTTTTTTTTTTTTTTTTTTTGCTGTTGGCTGAAACAAACATTTTCTATTTCACTTTAATCATCGATAGCTATTCTTGATGCCCCGCATTCAAGCTCCGATGATTCGATTGATCAAATAACTCGAATGTACTACGATAACCTGTCAAAACTCCAGTCATATCACGATGCTATGTCAGATCTACGAATGTGGGTTGAAAAAAAGAACGCTCTGGAAATGCAAAACTCAAATGATCCAAGTGCACAAGAAGAGCTAGACACAATTGAGACAGAAATTAAGAAATATCAACAAAAGGCTGACATGTACAAAGGTGAGTTTGTTCCAACTCAGCCACCTAGTAGTAGTGTTCATGACACGACACAAAGACTGCAAGTGAATCGCAGTCTGGAAAGCAATATGCAATACAACGATATATTTAAATCAGATTACCAAAAAAACGTTATCCAATTTAATTGGATAAATAATTTGTATTGTTCTTGATATACAAATTATTTACATGTACATATATGTATATACATATTGTTTTCGAATCAGTCAACATTTTCAATGTTGGTATAAACACATCTGGGTAACCACCCTGACAGTCCTACTATACTATCACCTACCTATTATTCCTTCTGGGTGACTAATAAAAATGCCATTCAATGCAGTCAACACTGTACATTGCAAAAGGCGTATCAGATATAAAAAGTCGACGACACAACGTTGAACGATTTTCACCATACAATTGTGAACAGGAATCAGAAACAATTTGCATATTCAGGAACAGAATTACATTTGTTAGTTTAGTTTGACAACTAAAATTTGGTGAAGTCAGTAGCACAATGAACACCAACAAACTTAGACAACAGCACACATTATGTATATTGACACATGACATTTTGTCTTTTCTTTCAGAGAGAATTATCAATGGTACCTACGGATGAAATGAGCATGATAAGAGCTATGTATCATTTTCTGGTGATATATTTGAAGATATTACATTATATACTTTATAACTTTAGGTTTCTATCGTCTTGGGCTTGTAATGTCAATTTTGACTAAATATGAATAATATCAAATATGTAGTTCATATATAGTGAATAATATTAAGTAAGTCATTGTAAATGCATTATATGGAAAATTGATCTTCTTCATCGGGTTGATAATAAAGGGTGAAAATGCAAACGTGTTTGTTTTTTTTCTTTAATTGATTTATGATACATCTTAAATTTCTGTGACAAATCAATGTACCAAGATAATATGAATGAAAACAGTGTGAATATGTTTTGTTGTTGTTTTATTCACACAGTTTTGTTATTCATGACTTGCCATGCCACGTGAAATTCACATTCCAATGAAATACGCATGGACTCAGACTAACTGGAAAATTGTATTCAATTTGAAGTTGTCTCAAATGACGACAGACTTAGAAATTTTTAATTCTTCAAAATATTGGCTTCATTAAACCATACAGATTCGCGCCTGACGATAGTAGAGACTTATTTCAATGGTCATCAGTTCCAATATAGTAATGGTTACTTATCCACAAATGTTAGTAGATCAGACAGAGTGGAAAGGTGTGGAAAGTCCAGACTATGGAATCTGTATCCTCGAAAACCATTAAGAATTTACATATGGGCCATGAGTTTGATAATTTTAAAGACGGTGGGCGTTCTCTAAATTTTGCAGAAATGTGCATATCATAACACCCTCCCCGAGGGCTGACTAATCTAAAATGGCCCAATTCCCTGTAACGTACTTGCATTTCGCGGGTATAATATTAAAATGGTGCAAAGTATTGTGACATAAACAAGAGCATTTTAGTATGAACACTGAGGGCAGTATGAATGCAAAGAAGGTTAAAATAAAAGACCATTTTCCGTTCACTGCGTGTTATGTGTGAAAACGAACGTAAAAACAGGACAAAAAAGGTCATAGCGTCGTGGTGCGAAAATATTTGGGGGATATTTCCATGCTTTCCATATTTCCTATATTTTAATAATGTGCTGTACACATTTGGGTATTCAAACGCAGTATTCGATGTTAGCTACGATATACAGAAATTCGAGTTTAAAATCAAATCGTTCAATCTTTGTGGCGCGTCTTTCACGCAACTCGCGAGATCTCGCAGTTGAACGGAAAGTCACGTGATTGAAATTCAGCTGTGAATGGGTCAGCCATAAATTATAAATGTCCTTAAATAAAGATGTATCTGGCAATTTTATGCCAAATATGAACTCCAAAATCACAATATATGTTTAAATTTAAAATTGCGAAAAGTGATTTTCTATAATAAATGTTGGTCCTTAAGCAGGAAATGTAGAAAGAGTATCGTTTATGTGTAATCTATTTCTATTTTGGATTTCCACGAAGTAATAGATTTTTTAAAGATAGATGTTTTATGAATATTTTATAAATTTTGATAAATTAAGGTAGAGTCTTCATGAAAATCGCTGTAGCCAATGAATATGCCTTCTTCGTTTATGTGTAATCTATTTCTATTTTGGATTTCCACGAAGTAATAGATTTTTTAAAGATAGATGTTTTATGAATATTTTATAAATTTTGATAAATTAAGGTAGAGTCTTCATGAAAATCGCTGTAGCCAATGAATATGCCTTCTTCGGATTTAATTGATGTTTCATTAATATTTATTTTCATGCTTCCAAGAAATTCAGTTTACTACATAGTGGGAGTTTTTTGGGGGGGGTTATTTCTTTTTTATATCTAAGAATATTACATATGACATATAATAATTAGACGAGCAGTCAGTTCATGGCTTCCCTCCAATATCATGAACAGAAAATATTTCATGTGATCTTTATCTATTATAATAGCAAACTTACATGTAGGTGTGATATATGCACACTCTAATGATTATGGTCTTCGTCTTGTATTCTTTCGAATGGTGTCAGTGTGGAGTTGTGTTTTATGCAAGCAGCACAGAAGTCGGTAACATCGCACTGCCCTTGTCACTGTGTCTTCGGTTTAGGTGGTGCAAACCTCAGGTCACTTCACTTCTAACTAGGTCATGTGAATATAGAAACCACATTTCCGTCTATTCAATGTACAAACAGTAGCTACTATATTGGCGTAAAGTCTAAATCACAATCAAGTGATTGGATGGTGTTCAGCCGACAAAGTCAGATCTTAGAGAGTTAATACGAAAATATCACGTGACACAAATCGTAAATAACATATAAATAACTCACACTGACTGACAAGTGCTGGGTAAATGAATATTTAATTAAAAATCATAAAGTGGATACACTTATATCAAGAGTTACAATCTCAAATCAATATTACACAATCGTCACATGCAAGGTAACACTAAAGCATTATGAAAAAACACGTATCACTACTCTGTATTGCTTGCAGTATGTAATACAATCTGTTCGACTGCCATGCATACGCCCATCAAATTGATATTACTAATGCAGAAAAAGGCGACTAAATAATACTGCAAATTGCTAAGGCGTGTTTGCTTCTTCCGAGTATTTAGATTCTTCTTTCGCGCCGCATGTCTCACCTTTAGAGAAAAGAAAACAAAAAACATCTTCATTCTTGAAGTTGACATTTCCCTGGAAATTACCACATCTGAATATGATTTTACAAATGACGTCACTAAACATTCATACGGACGTTCGATTCTTACAAACAAGTAAGGAAACTAAACTTGAAATGAATAGAGTCGTGTTGATTTTTTTTTTCGCCGAGTTCTTAATTTCAATTTACAATGAATCACGTTCACATAGGTGATGGCGTACTCCGCTAAGGGTTTTTAACGTAAAACAAGTCACGCACATGCATGACGTCGGCCTGATAATTGTGAGGTACAGATGTTACTCTTATTAGCCATGAGCGTCATATCATGTAACCATGCAGCGCAGTACAACATGTCTACTCCCTAACAGCTGTTTGAAAAGAAACGCAATTTTGAAGTATCTTTAAAATTGCGCATTCAGTTGATTGACATGACGACCATGTGACACATGGACTGTTGGACAATACAAAATGCGATTCGTTTAGCAGGATAATAAATCGTCATAATTTGATTTACGTCTACCAATTCCATGGATCTTTGGCGCTAAAGGGAAAATGTTATGTTGATATTACTCCTTTTAGTGTGTGGGCCGTTCCAAAGATGCAGATCTTTTGGAGTTCCAAGATGTTAATATCTCCAGGAATTTTGCTGGTGTGTATTTCCAGGCCCTTCTTTTTGAGCCTTAGTGTCCCGATCACTACTGGTACTGTTCTAGTTGTCATTCCCTACATTTTGTTGATTTGATTTCAATTTCAATTTCAAGATCTTTGTACTTGGACAACTTTTCAGCCAGTTTCACAGAAGTGTTTCTATCTGATGCTACTGTCATATCAATGAGGATGCACGTTTCATGTTGCTTGTTCTTGATAACTATGTCTGGTAGTCATTGTAGGTTTGAGACAGTGTGGGGTGTTGCGTTTCGCGTCTGCGTACGACAGTGAAGTGCTTAGCTGTGTTTTAGAGGTGGAATTGGATGTGTTGCAGTTTTATATGTTTGTAATATGCCTGGTATAATATCAACTTACCAAATTTCTGAAGCTTTGGTTCAAACTGATTCCAAAATGCACATTCTCTTGCTTTCAATGCATTACTATTCTCCATTGATAATGAGAGTTGTTTATACGCTAAACCTGGCACTGTAAACAATGGCCAGTCATCGTTGTTATCTTCATCACTTGCAGAACTACGATTAGGATTACTGGAATAAATACAAAATGTTACTATTGGATATTCCAGTTTCAAAACGTGCAAGCTATCAGTATGAAACCGACCTAGTCCCCATGTATGCGTTACTTTATTATCGGTAGTGAGACATCGGTAGTAATAATTCCGACATAATTATTTCAGATTCATCATTTTCAATTTCAAAATGTGTGCTCAAGGTAGGTATGCAAAGTTAACAAACAAATTATAGAAAAAATCTATAAAATTGAGTCAATTGGAGAATCCAGAAATCAGAAACTCACCCAGTTTTGGCAAAATTCGTCCAGTATTTCATAGTTTGTAAAGACACCTGAATATCAATTTCATTTGGCGTCTGCTTATATAATGTCTTCTCGTCACCACCAAGAACTAGCTGCATCTCAGATAGCAGGGCGTAACCAAAGACAAATAGAATATCATCTCCATGAAGTGGCTTGCCAGTTTTGAAAGGCCAGACTGACTTCGCCGGGGCGTGTGTCAACTGGTACATATAGGTATTGAGTCCCGCACCGTAATAATCACGGGCAGCTACGTCAGATGGACAAACAAAAAATACGTCTCCTGCCATTTGACTCAAAGGTGACAGGTAGTTGGCATTCTCCTCATCAGCGTGGTCCCAGTCCACGTAAATTAGTTTAATCATGTCTAAGACAGCTTGGTTCTTTCCTGGAATAACCATGCTAAACATCGAATCATACAGAGTCTTGTTAACTGATAACTCACTGTCATCGTTAGGAAATAATGAGAAGAAAAAGAACAATCCTTCATCGCCCGTAGTACCAGTCATCAATTCCTCGCCATTAAAAGTTCTGATCGTCGAAGGGTCCTCCTTTATAAATTCTCCATCCAAAGTCGGTTGAAATGGCATCGTGATATCATTAATTCCTGTCACGTTCGCTATAGTGCGCTGTTAAAGGAATACAGCATTAATAAGTAAACACAAATATAGCTAGATCTACTAATAGAAGCCTGTAAATGCGACGCTGTACGAGTTATAGTTCCGGTGCATAGAAAAGGTTATCCACATTTTTCTGAATGTTTTAAACAAAACAGCTGCTTTACCCTGTTTTTCAATCGATAATTTTACCTCGTACTGTGCAATTTCAGGGCTATGAAAGAATAAAATTGTGTTCAAACCTAATAAAGGTTTTAATGATCTAATTTGTATATTTGTAAGTCGTTTTGAATTATAAGATCATCGAAATACGTGTGCAAATCTGTGTTGAAATCAAACGAACTCATGCATATTCATGAGAGGCTAATTATTATCTCATGAATATGCATAACGTCATTTGATTCAGACAAACGGTCATTAATCACGTGCATCATTTGAAAGCCACAACAATGGAAATCATCTAGAGTTAAAAATGCCGTTGTCATCTACGCATGTTGTTCGCATTTGATTTGATTCGTCCAACGCGCTGAATGACAGCGTTCTCTGGTAGTTGTTTTTGGTTTTAATGCGTCAGATAGCCATAGCGTGTCATTGTTTACAAACAAGCGTCTGCCCATGAGCCTTTGCGTTCTAGCGTATGTTGTTATTGTCGTTTGGGACTCAATTCCCGCGCGTGCGCAGGTGACGACCCTCTCGCTTTAACTCGTAATCGTTGCGCTATTGCATAAGCTGACAATAATGAAGAGAATGGATGTCTTACATTGACGATAAATCAAGTGGCAAAATATCCATCAAAATTAGAGAATTGAATTAAACAAATCTGAGAAAGGTCCACATGTAGTACCTATGTACGTAATATCAAAGCCATCAGACTTTCGGTTTTCAACAGGAAGTCGAAAATATACACTTTTTACCAAAAATAACAAAAATATTCATCAAAATTAGACAATTGAAGATATCATAACGAAATGAAAAATATCTGAGAGAGGCCTGCCCAAGGTACATACTAGTACACACCAAGTATCAAAGCAATAACAATTGTAGTTTTCAAGAAGAAGTCGAATAAGTAAAAAGTTGACACAGACGACGGACGACAAAGTCGACAGCGGAATTAATAACGAGAATGCCTGTGTTACATTGATAATAAGTCAAGTAACTTGATATAAATGTATGCACGGATCACAGTCCATGATGCACCTCGTCAATAACCAACCTCGAACGAGCCTACCATTTAAAGACGTATCCGAATGTAATTTACCGTGAACTGGATTGGTTCTCACCTTTGTGACGTCAGACGAATCTCTAAACTCGTCTGCTGGTACAGTACGAAGACATTCAATTAGCTCTTTACTGTTGTCTTTCTCACATCCAACAAGTTTACCCTGACCATGTGCTATCTTGTTAGTCTTAGATGTATCGGTATGTAGAACCCCATTTATTACGCCGGTACCACTCTGTAATAAGGACATTGGGAGTACACAGACATCAGACCGTCTTCGTTTGTAATATACATTTAGTTTTACGTCACAAACCATGCAACACCGGAGTATACTTATTTCCTCACCGATAAGTTTGATGCTAAAATGTTTTCAGAATACAATAGAGTAATCATAATAATCAATGACGTCACGTAATGTAAAATACGGGGATAGTTTGTACAATAAAATAATTTCACTTTTATGATCTATGTTTATATTACCACATACCTGGAGAATAGATCTTTTGAACAACCCTTTACTCATTGGAGACATCACGTGGTAATGCGCACTCATGGCGCCCGCGCTCTCGCCAAATAAGGTAACGGTGTTTGGATCTCCGCCAAAAGCTACGCAAAAAAAGAATTTCATTAATTTTGCATTCATCTCTTTGTAATTTATAGTAAACTATAAAACATTATAAAAGAAAAGCTAATAATCAATCAATATAAAGCACGAACATCTGCTGAACTAAACACAGTGAATTTCAAAACTGGGACTGAGCATGCGCGATGTGACAACGAATGATGTAATGCGCAATTCATACAGACAGTAAGAGCTGAGAGAGAAGAAACAAAAGACACTGAACAATGGCATGAATAATGAATGAATGAACGAACAAACGAATGAATGAATGAATGAATGAATGAATGAATGAATGAATGAATGAATACAAATTTTGAAAGGCTTACAAAATATTACTAGTAAACTTTAATATTATAAATGATTACAAGTTCGTTATTGCTCTCGTACCTGCAATGTTCTGTTGAACCCAACGAAGTGCTTCTACTTGATCTAAGAAACCATAGTTACCGGGTGCTACGTCATCACCTGTCAACAAACGAGAAAACTCATTGGCATGTTTGTTAGATCACTTGACGTGTTATACAAATATCAATAAGTTAAGGAAGAAACTAACATATATGTGAAATATTAAAAGTAGATATTCTGTGCCAGCACTTCACATTTCATTTTGACAGAACTAAGGGTTTTTATGTCTTTGATAAACATACCTACAATGTTTACTTTCATGACAAACAAAGCCCTCTAAGTGAGTATATATTTCTCACAAATCTAGCCCAATTGAAGTTGCCCGCTTAATTCATATTTTACAGTTAATTTCTCATCTTCCACACATTTTCAGAACAATTTAATAGTCTAGGAATGAGACCCATAGAGATTCGCGGCTTTTTAAAACCAGTGCACAATAATTACCCTACAAATATGTCATATTCGCTACCAAATTTTATATATGAGATATTCACCTGTGCTGAGAAATCCAAGCGCCCCCAGTCGATAATTAATGGTGACTACAATGACGTCATTCAATGAAGACAGTATGGTTGCATCGTACATCCTCGTTCCGGATCCCATAATAAATGCACCTCCGTGGATCCAGAACATTACAGGCGTGTTGTCTTTCTGAAATGTTGAAATTACAACTGTAAAAAATGTGGACAGTAGTACAGTAGGCGGAATGATTTTCCGGTTAACAAATGTTTGTTAAAAATAAAAATTTCAGGTACACAATAAACTTCAAAAGGTAAGGGTAACTACAATGACATCATTCAATAACAACAGTATCGTCGACAATTGCACGCAATAATTAAGCCGCAATGCACCATGGGTTGATTTGTTACACATAAGCGCATCCCATCCCGGGTAAATTGCATACAAGCGATTCCTTCCATAATTTATTATAATTTGTTTTATTAGCTTATTTATTATCTCCCGCCAATCTGATCGAAAGCATAAGTAGATTGACGACCCCGAAGTTGCTTAAATCTCGTTAACCCCATCCACGTCTCTTGTAGTTGCAGAAGCGTTTCCAACTTTTGTTCCCACATCGAATATTAATCAGATGACCCTCCATCCAAACACAATATGTAAGTTTACGAAATATATTAATAACTATGTGTTTAAAGCGAGGGAGTCGTCACCTGTGCATGCGTCATGTGGTCATAGCGTGTCATTGTTTACAAATAAGCGTCTACACATGAGCCTTTGCGTTCTCGGCGTGTGTTGTTATCATCGCTTGGGACTCAATTCTCGCGCGTGCGCAGGTGACGACACTCTCGCTTTAATAACTGCCATTGTATATAGACATCCAAAGTCTAATTAACCGTGGCGACAGCGCCGGCGACAGCGTCCTTATGTAGTGCCTTGAACTCTCCTCAAACTTTGAACGTCCCAGATTCTGTACTGTGAATAACTACTTTAAATGTGCGAATCCCCTCATAGTAATCGCCCAAGGCTAATATGACAACAGTATTCTTATTTACGTGGTTCTTACAACAAAGAACTTTAGCGCGTCAACTCCCATGCGACCTCCTATTGACCTTGATGTTATCCCTCGTTAACTTACCCGTGGCTGTGGTGCATAAACATTCAAATGCAGGCAGTCTTCGTCTTGTATCTTGTCCGTGGGAATCGGCGGAGTTTCCGGTTGTATGCACGCAGTACGGAAGTCGGCAGCATCGTACTCCCCTTGCCACGGTGTCTTGGGTTTAGGCGGTGCAAACCTCAGGTCACCGACCGGTGGTTCAGCGTACGGTATACCCCTATAGACATGTACAGTCCGTGTACCATCTACAAATTCACTGCTGAATTCTTCCACGGTACCGATTAGTGTACCGGTAGAGATCTCGACAGTTGGTCTGTCTGCATTACAGGCAGTGGTAATCAGCACGATTACAACGAAAACAGTCGATAAGGACAACATGATTTCAATGTCCGTCCTGAACGGCTGATGAGTCGTAGCCTCGTTTTCATCGGTTTATTTGACTTCGTTTATTTGTTCCGTCAAAACAACTGTCCGATGTCAAGACGATGTCACTCGCTAAGTGCAATGTGTACGACATTGACTTGCAAGGTCGTGAATGCGTCATTAAAATAAATCACGTGGTACTTACGTGAATACTAGTAACCTGTACAAATTATAGTATTGTTGAACGATTGAATTCATGTTTCTCAAATATAAGGAAAACATACATTTTGCAGGAGATCATGTGTTGCCTTGGTAACATGCAGCTTAAATTATGTGTGTTTTGTGGATAAAGAAAACAAAACATACACAAGTATTGAGGTCAAGAATCTGGATCATTGACCTCTGACCCCCCCCCCTCCCTTACATTGAAATCAACATAGTTTGATTTGTTTTATTTTTTTAGAAAAGTTTTTATTTTTTGTTTTCTTTTTTAGATTGTAGTTTGTTTTAATTTCTTTCTGTAAGACCCTTTTTATCCTTTCCTAATGATTTTATGCGTCTAATAAAAAAAAATAGTGGTCACACTGTACGCCAAACATGCACTGTGCAAACACTGGCAGACTATCATCGCGACCTCATTAACATATATTAGCATATTTTGAATGCTGACACAGTTGAGGTTACCGAGGTTCAACAACCAAACACTTCCCGTGAGGATAAGAAGCATGTTTTCACTTTCAGGTTGAAGCATCGTAGCCGGTTTGTATATGAATGATGAATTTCTTGATGGGCTGCCCTCAACAAAAAGAATAAAAATTAGCTGATTTAAGTAAATACAAACCTCAGATACACAATTTTGTTTGTCAGGCAAGAAGGAAAACTGTTTGTATAGTATGAGGACTACAAATAAAGAAGTTGCAGTTGATATTAACGCAAGTAGTTTCATTTATATCAAATTATTATTATTATTATTATTATTATTATTATTATTATTATTATTATTATTATTATTATTATTGATTGTTAATTGATTACTTTGTCTCAGTAATTTATTTTATTTTAGTCCACTTTTAATGAATTTGACAATTCATCCAATGAATCGTTATCACAAATAGAACAACATCTTCCCCCCAAAAATGGTCTTTTTTAAAAAGTGGATTTTTTTGGGTAACGTAATGCCTTGTTAAACATTCACTTGTGCTATTTAGTTTATGGATTTCATGTTTACATTATGCTTGTAAATCTGTAGGCTAACAAAGTTACAGTTGATTAGATCAATTACTACAAGTAATATAGTAATATACTACAAGTCAATTTACAACAACAATTTTGTAAGTTTTTGTGCGTTGTGTAATTGAACAGGTTATACACTACAATATCTGTTTGGAAAAATATGCAAATGAGTATGTAAATATTGATTTGAATTTCAATTACACTGTTACATGTTGTTGAAAAGCTGTACAGGAATTGGTTTCATTATGCATTTTGATTTTCTTATGCACACAGCAAGATTCTTGTAACTACCACCATAATTGTTTTGCTGGCCAAATCTTTCCAGATAAAGAGTACTAGTATAAAAAAAATGTCATCCAATCATGATCCTCGGGCGGAGCTACGTCACAGGACGTTCCACGGTGCTAAGACGCGCACCACTTTACCATGTATTTTTATTGGCTCTGTGCGAGTTGCTATGGAATGTCAGTCGAACAGCGGGTGAAATAACTAAATTCAAGAAAACAGCACACACTCCACTTTGAAGTAATCCTAAACGAAAAAACATATCTATGTTGTACACGCAGGGGTAATCTTGTTACACTGTTCAGGAGAGTCTCAACAACTATCCCAAAGTACCGTTTTTTGAGAGTTTTCGGCCTTTGTTTTCACCGTGATGGTTGCCATGCGATGAAAATGCCCGGATGTCCGCCCCGAGAATACACTTCATCGGAGCTTAATTACTCTTAGCTTACAACGTCTGATAAGGGGTTCATAGTCACCCCGTCACTTTCGTAAATTCTAATATTTAATGAGACAGAGAAAAAATCCAACAGAGCGCGTACAATATAAACAGTGTTAAACTATCATGTAGGCGGATCGCAAGATAAAAATAGAATAGATTCTGTGTGTAAATGATTATAAAGATATTCTGTTGAAGCAACTGCATTTCAAACAGCGCCCTCTAGCGAGGAAACGCGTATGTGACGTAAGTAGGCGTCAATATTGTATTGATCTTCTGTCAAATACTTGCAAAGCAACTTGTTAAACATCGCAAATATTTGAACACTACACAAAGCTTTTTCATTTAATACCTCATTAATAAGAATAACAAGAACTAATGGATGCCACACTATTATATTAACAAATTATTTTATTAACAAACATAGCCATTTTATTTTCAACAACATCCTTCATTCACATTATTTCATGTTTTCTTCCAGCAAAACCACACTATATAATCACCATTGGTGCTCTAAATCTAAATCATTTCGAGAGATATGCGGATATTTCTAAGGACTGTTTGCTTCTTCGGAGTATTTAGATTCTTCTTTGTTGACACATGTATCACCTTTGAAAAAAAGATAAATGAAATGATAGTTAGAATTTACATTAGACACAAATATCCGCTGATATCTCGTCGATAACGAGAAAGCCACTCGACTTCTTTATTATCGCCTCTTAAATCTCGTACGTCATCTCGTCCACTGTGACCATGGGAATTATTGGGAACAGTGGACGTGACGACGGGAAAAAATACACTACACTATTTGATGGACAAAAAAATATTTGTGACTCTCTCGCTATAAGCGAGATCTCGACGGCCATTTGAATTTAATATCTCGGTAACCATTATATATATTTTTTACAAATATACAACTCTACATTCAATTCCTGATTCCCGAATTTACCATCACACGCGATTTTTGCGCATGCGTGAAGATGTTGGGACAAAAATATGAAAGGTCAAACGAACAACGGACAGACAAATCGATAAAGAAGACAAAAGATCCTGAAGTTAGTTTGGATGGATTCAAAAAGGGACAGTTATAAAAACTATATAAGACAGTTGGGAAACATGGATGTTTTCTTGCAGAGAAAATAAATTGAAAGGAGATGGTGCGTGTGTGTTTCACTGAGTAAATATGATCGTGAGAGTTGTTCAACTGCAAGTCGTAGTACACCGCTAATCCATGCGCATAGGACATTCAAAATATGTCCTACCATCGGGTTTGTTGGAATCAAGCCACAAACGCTATCAATTCAGGAATCAGAAATTATAAGATCAAATACAGATGTTATTACTTATACTTGATCAAATTATTTGGCGAGAACTTCATCCAGTGAAAGCTAGCCAAGGTCTATAAATAAACCAGTCATATTTCCAGTTCACCGCGCGCGTCAGTCAAAACAAGTGCGTAGTTTTTTTGGTTTAGGTACTTTTTTTTTTAACAAATGTATATAAAAGACCAATGTAATGACAATTTTAAAATTAAAATGAAACAACTGCACACGCATCGATTTTGTAGGACAGATCGGCCAGAAATTGTTTTCTTATTTACTGGTACAGTTAAATGTACTAATAAATAACAATTTCAAAATAAAACCACATTTTATAATAGTCAAGCTAAAAGACTGATTAACTATGTCATTAACTTTGTTACATTTTGTCAACTCACCGGATTGCTGAAGCTTTTTTACAAATTGATTCCAGAATGCACATTCTCTTGCTTTCAATGCATTACTATTCTCCATTGATAATGAGAGTTGTTTATACGCTAAACCAGGCACTGTAAACAATGGCCAGTCATCGTTGTTATCGTCATCACTTGCAGAACTACGATTAGGATTACTGGAATAAATACAAAGTGTTACTATTGGACATTCAATCAATCAATCAATCAATCAATCAATCAGTTAAATCTATTGTTTATCACCACAAACCCGTGCATATATTGCAATCGTTTTAGGTAATTAGACAACTAACACGTTTCCTCTAAGCGTTGTGCTTGTGAGAAGAAAATTAAACAGTACAGGTTGGCATAGCGTGTAGTCATATATTATATGTGAAATGATATATACACAAGTTTGAGCATCGTCAGTCAATTCGTATCACAGAGCTGGCTCAGGAACCACATTAGTTAAAACAAAATGTCCGCCAGTCGGCCATTTTGAATCCCATCTGGAAAACAAAATGGCGTGCATCAAGATCCGATAATGTTCAATGTATGTACAAAGTTTTAACAAAATTCTCCTTTAAAAATCACAGATCCTGTGTAGAAATGCTTGATTTCGGTGATTTGTCAGCACAAAAATGACAACCATTCAGCCATTTTGAATCAGATCGTCAAACCAATATATATCTGTACATCTATGACATGATTTATAATATATATACAAAAATTGAACATAAGCATGTCACTAGACACTAGAACCCCATTCACTAAAAATGGCCGCCAGTCGGTCATTTTGAATCAAATCTAAAAAATTAAATGACGCAAATCAAGCTCCTATAAATTTACAATGTTTGAACAGAATCCATCGGTAAACATCCAAGATCCAGATCTGGAATGCCAGAAACGTTTGAATTTGATGATTTGTCAGCACACACATGGCCATCATTTGAATCAGATTGTGAAACAGACTGTTGTGCATATGTATGGTTATGGTTAAATAATATAATGGGTTCACTTCCACGGTTAAATAATGTGATGGATTCACTTCTGTGGTTAACTAATATAATGATTAGCTTTATAAGGTTAATCAGTGTAATGCATTAACTTCTGTGGTTAATTAGCGTAGTGGATTCAGTGTTTTAGAAATCAGAAACTCACCCAGTTTTAGCAAAATTCGTCCAGTACTTCATAGTTTGTAAAGACACCTGAATATCATTTTCATTTGGCGTCTGCTTAAATAAAGTCTTCTCGTTACCACCAAGAACTAGCTGCATCTCGGATAGCAGAGGGTAACCAAAGACGAATTGGATGTCATCTGCATGCAGTGATGTACCAGTTTTGACAGGCCATAATGTAGTTGCTGGTACGTGCGTCATCTGGTACAAATACGTGTTAATTCCTTGTGCGGAATGAGCACGTGCAGCTAAGTCACTTGGACAAACGAACATCATATCCCCTGCCATCTGACATAACGCTGAGAGGTAGTTGGCATCTTCCTCATCAGCGTGGTCCCAGTCAACGTAAATCAGTTTAACTGCGTCTAAAACAGCTTGGTTCTTATCTGAAATAAGCATGGAATACATCGCCTCATACATAGTCTTGTTCACAGTGAACTCGCTGTCATGAACCGGAAATAATGGAAGGTACATCATGAATCCTTCATCAGTCGTGGCACCAATCATCAGTTCCTCGCCATTGAATTTCGTCTCTGTGTTCAAAGGATCCTCCTTTACAAATTCTCCATCCAAAGTGGGTGGAAATGGTATCATCATATCTTTAATTTTGGTCATGTTGGCAATGGCGAGCTGATAAAAATAAATTTTAAAAAATTAGAGCTCTAAGAAGAACATATATCAGCGATATAGATATGTACATAAATGAAATCGTTTATATGTTTTACTTAAAGCGGGGGAGTCGTCACCTGCGCTTGCGTCAGGTGGCCTTAGCATGTCATTGTTTACAAACACGCGTCTATCCTTGAGCCTTTGCGTTTTTAGCATGCAATGTTATCGTCGCTTGGGACTCAATTCCCGCGCGTGCGCAGGTGACGACCCTCCCGCTTTAAAATAGAACTGTCCTAACAATGAAACGCCTTTCAGTGCGCAGCGTAGATTAAATGCGAACAGACGATATTGATACGTTCAACTCAAACAGCGTTACTTTGTTGTAACTTTTCAGTGAGTGTGCGCCTGATTGGCTACCCGACCCCAACAGTCAGACTAATCAGAGTGCAGTTTGTTTGTCACCTTTCTACATTTTGATTACTGGTTTGCTTCTCTGAAACAATTTCAGATAAATGATATAGGCCGTCGCACTGTGACGTCGTATGTTTACATTTGATGCTTCCCAACATGCAGTTGTCTGAAAACAAATGTCGTGAATGTACTCACACAGCATCACGAATTCGTGGAATATCTGTGACCGTGCACATTGTCGTTAACCAACCGCGAACGAGCCTGCAATTTCGTGACGTTATAAATAATAATATCACGTGAACTGAGAATTCATGAGTGGTCGTCGGATTGGTACTCACCTTTGTGACGTAAAACGCATCTCTAAACTCGTCCGCTGGTACAGCACGAAGACATTCAAGTAACTCTTTACTGTTGTCTTTTTCACATCCAACAAATTTACCAAGGCCATTCGCTATTATATTAGTCCTAGATGCATCATCGGATTGCGCCATAAATCCCTTTATTGTGGCCGTGCCACTCTGTAAAAGTAATAGTAACAAAATTCCATCATTTGGAATGGCCGCTGACAGATTGTGAAAAAAAGACTTGATTTTTGCTTCTCGTGGTTCCATTCTTTCCCGTCATCGCGTCCACTGTCTTAAAACTATCGGACGTACAATCGATGAATTTGATGATGCAGATTATTCGCGATAATGTATACCATTATTGGGTAACAAGGCCCCGTACCATGGATATGAATGCAATGTTGTGTTGTGTTGTGTTGTGTTCGGAAACGAAGAAAAGAGCAGCTATTTAAAACGAAGAGAAATTGTGAGGTACCAAGTAATTAATACTAAAATCGGCATCATAATAAAATGGTCTACTGCCAACAACAACGGATTTCAATATCGTAAAGCGTACAGAAACATGAAACTAAATAAAGAGACTTTCTTCATTTAGTTTCATGCCGTATTCAAGATGGCGACCCCATAGTATAAATTTTGCCCGATCGTGTGGGTGAAATAATGTTAGCCCGGAGGTAACTTATATGTGTTAGTTTAGACCACACATAAGTCACCCGTCCACTCGCAATGTAAATTATTTAAAATATGATAATATTTGATGGATTAAAACCAGTGTCTTTCTTAGTTTGACATATTAGATTGTGAAAACGAATTTGCAGTACGAGGTTTTAAATTATGCTGATTCAGGGGCCTGTGAAACTGTTCTGTTCACCATGCACTTTTCTGCTTTTCAATGGCAGAAAATCCACTGGTATTGACAGTACTATAAAATAATAACAATAATGAACTCTTCACCAGCCCACAATTGATTTAAGCTCACCTTGTGCTCTATGTACGTCGCACAAAGTGAGACTTCAACCGTTATGGTATGGCGGGTCGTTCATTACTGTTAAACTATACAAGAAGGACGCTTTCGTGAATCCATATTTGTACGTATCACATACCTGCAGAATAGTTCGTTTGAACAACCCTTTACTCATTGGAGATAACACGTGATAATGTATACTTATGGCACCCGCACTTTGGCCAAATAATGTAACAGTATTTGGATCTCCTCCAAAAGCTATACAAAGAAATTATTTATTTTTTACATTGGCAACATAAAATTCACTAAACAAAAAGGTACAAAATAAACTGAACAAAGGTAGAAACATGACCAATAATTACAAATTTTGAAATGCTTAAAAAATAACACAAGAAAACAGTATTAATGATTGTTATTGCTCTCGTACCTGCAATGTTCTGTTGCACCCAACCGAGTGCTTCTACTTGATCTAAGAAACCATAGTTACCGGGTGCTACGTCATCACCTGTCAACGAGAACAATGTGGTAATATGTGGCATGTTTTATAGGTTCACTTAACGGGTTATACAAATACCAAAACATTCATTTTGTAAGTTAGTGTTTATTATTTAAAAATCGATCTTAATCTGTTAACCTGCTCAAATTCATATTCTACAGTTATTTTATCATTACCTATACATCAAATCATTATGCTATCTCATATTTATTGACCTGGGTGAATGTTACCCCTATATCGGATTTGCAAACTCTGAATGAAAATCATTCTATTTTACGGCAGATGTTCTATCTGCCACTTCACGTATTACGCGAGATTTCGCAGTGGGCGGTAAAGTTATTTATTATTTTACAAATATTTCATATCCGCTGTCAAAATATTCACCTGTGCTGAAAAATCCAAGCGCCCCCAATCGATAATTAATGGTGACTACAATGACGTCATTCAATGAAGACAGTATGGTTGCATCGTACAGCCTCGTTCCGGATCCTATAATGAAGGCTCCTCCGTGGATCCATACCATTACAGGCGTGTTATCTTTCTGCAATATTGAAATAAAAACCGTTCAACTGTATGACTCGCTTGCCAAGTAGTAGAACAGACGAGGATAATTTTCCGGTAAACAAAATGTAAATCAGCAGTTTTCAAAAGTAGACTTTGTGTACACAGTTTTGACAACATAAAATAATATTTGATTAATGGTAACGACGATGACCTCGCTCATTGTTGACAGTATCGTACATCATTGTTCCGGACCCAATACTTAAGCGGGTTCATAAATCCAGGCATTACATGTGTGCTATTGCACTGAAATTGATAAAATTGTTCATCTTATTTAAGCATCACTAATATTGAACCGTTCGTCAGTGCCTTATTATATCTTGGGAAATCTCTTATCAGGGACCTAGCGCTGGGCCCACGGTTGAGTGCGCCATATTTATATTTGGTCGTCAAATGAAACACGGATAATATAATTTTGATTTTCCGTACACAAATACATTTACAGGCACTTGTTTGATCAAGAATCTGTTCGCATCCAGCCACTCCATTTTGCTGGAGGCTCCGGTCCATGCCGTTGTTTGAGTAGGCCGTGGTAGACCAAGTGTAAATATATACTTAGTAGTCCATTCTTACAATACCGTGGACCCAGTGAAAGGTTAGAGGTTAAAGGTTACATCTGTGGGCGTATTTGGAAACTTCTGGAAACTCTTCCCATGTATGATATGTACCAGACTGTCCTCTCTAACTGTTTTGACTAATAAATATGACCATATCATGTGTAACCGTACTAAGTCCGAAGTGCGGAATCAATGGCATGTATTTACATAGGGCAGTGCATCCCGAAGTGTCTGCACAGACAGGTAGATAAAGATGGCTGCCATAAACACAGTCACACTTCGTGCTCTGTAATAAGTTTTGTTTTTGTGTTGGTAACTTGGGAAATCCACATCTCTGTATATCTAGAAACAACTATAAAAACATATTGAATTCGCTGCTGATAGAATGGCCGAAGAAAAAAAGAATACGCAAGGAGGTACGTGATCCGATGTTTCTGTACGAGAATGACGAAATCAAAATGCAGGTCAGCTCCACACAAAGGAAATCTAAGACAAAGAAATCTGGTAAAAACTTGTATGCCGTC